ACCAGGACCCGGGACCGATTTTTTTTTCGTTTTGAGGTCCCTAGAGGTCAAAAACACCATCCGTTCAAATTCATATATATATATATGTGTCCGTTAGCGCGATAACTCGAGCAAAAATGATCCGATTTTGATGAAATTTGGTACAAATGTGTAAACCTACGTTTATTCGAACGAGTTCGTGAACCAGCATGATCGGACCATGGGAACGGGGGTTTATGGGGGCTTTTATGGGGTAAAAATGGGTTTTTCCCATTTTTGACCCAAAAAACATAAAATTTTGCAATTTATTTCTAAACTATTTTGTAGAGCTTAAAAAAACAAATTATTTAGTATATTGAAGCGTTATAATGCGCCTAATGGTTACGGAGAAAATTCCAAAAAATTGTAAATTTAAAATTCCCATGTTATTCTTATGGAGAATAAGTAAACTGTTGTAGTTTCCTTGTTTATAAACATATTTTGCCCAAATTTGGTAAATGTTTTTATTTCTTACTAACTATTAACATTTTACATACAAAACACTTTTACCCTCCCTGTTGCAGCAAACCTAAGTATGTGTAAAACTGATTCTATTTAAATAGGGAATAAATGTGATATTTTTAAGGAAACATTTTAGTGTAAATCCATTCAGGGAAATGGAAATTCGCTTAGTCTGCAGGTTTGCTGCGGCGGGGGTATTCTTAATGGGATGAATTTAATTTTAATTTTCTCTAGATAATGATCTGAGCCTGTATCAACTCCTCTTAACACCTTAACATTTTGAATTTCTTTATGAAAAGATTTGTCCATGCATACATGGTCCAGCTGCCATTCTCCTTTGGTCCAATCAGGATGTTTCCATGTTTTTAGTTTATTTGGTTTTCTTTTAAAATATGTGGATTTATTGATAAGTCCATGCGTTCTGCAGATTTCAACTAGTCTCTGTCCATTCCTATTGGTTTGTTTCTGTGGAGCATATTTTCCAATTACATCCCTGTATTTCTTTTCTTTTCCCAACTGTGCGTTGAAATCTCCAATTAATATCTTAACGTGTTTCTTGTTAATTTGGTTTATTGTCTGAACCAAAAGATCCCAGAAATCTTCTACTTCTTCCATAGTTTTTGTATGAAAGTTTTTCTCATTTGTAGGGGCAGTGCTTATTTGATGGCGGCACTTCCTCGCCATGACACAGCACTATCATCGGGCTCATGTGGACTTGCTGAGTGTGACCCTGCCACAGATCACCCTCCCACGCCCTCCGGTGCTGCCGCCTCGGTCCGGGACTGCTTATTCGGGTTACCCCTTATTCGCAGCTTTCCACCATATCTGATGGAACGTCCGCTATCCGCCAGCTGCGACCCGCCCTGTACCTGAGGCTCGGTTCCCCTAATAGAGCTGAGACTAAGAGGGGAGGGGATACAATACAATACAATATTCTTTATTGTTCATTCGTTAAGAATTACAATAATGTCAATACAATAGTGAATTGTATGTGTTAATTTCCATAATTTTCGTAAAATTCCTTTATTGTGTAGAAGGGTCTTGCGATTAGCCACTTCTTCAGCTCCTGGTGTAGCTTGTTGGCAGTCAGGTCTCTCAGGTAGTCAGGTAGATGGTTCCTCAGTTTGCAGCCGGTGTAGGAAGGTTTTTTTTCCCAAACAGTTGTTCGGTGAACTGGTAGGGCAAATTTGGAGCGATGACGAGTGTTGTAGTGGTGCAGGGCTTGGTTTCTTGGGGGGTTTATTTCATCCACATACTTTATGGTTTCAAGTATGTTGAGAGACACCACTGTGAGGATTCCTAGGTTTGCGAATGCTAGTCTGCAAGTATGTGGTGGGACAAGGTTGGCGAGGGCTCTTATGGCTTTCTTCTGAAGAACAAGGATTCGATTCATATTTTTTGTTGAAGTTCCTCCCCACACTGTCAAGCCATATCTAATATGCAACTCTACCAGTGCAAAGTAAGCTGTTTTGGCCTATGTAGTTTACTCTTATGACGACATATATTCCGGCACTGATTTTTTTGCTTAGGTGGTTGATGGTGCTCTTTCCATGTTAGTTTGTTATCAAGGATAACACCGAGAAATTTCGTATGGTTTTCTATTGTTACATCCTCTAATTGAGGGACTATGTCTTTTTTCTTACTGAAACTCAGAGTTGTAGTTTTTGTGGGGTTTATTGCTAAGTCATTGTTCTTTGAGTAGAGGATGGCTTTATTTAGGATCGATTTTGAATTAAGGTACAGGCTTTGGGCTGTGTTGTCCTTGATCAAAATGGTTGTGTCATCTGCATACATGATTGCAACAGCATTTTCACTCTCAATTTGTTTGGGTAAGTCATTAGTCAATAGGATGAATAGAATCGAGCCTAATACCGAGCCTTGTGGAACTCCTCTTGTCAGCTTGCTTTTTGAAGATTTGAAACTTGCTGTGACTTCATTTGATGAGTTTTTCAGTTCCACGACTTGTGAACGTCCTGTTAGGTTTAGTTAGGTGTTTGAACCATTCTAGCGCTGAGTTTCTTATACCGAGTCTTTCGAGTTTCTTGCATATCAGGTCGTGGCCCAGGCAGTCAAAAGCCTTACTGTAGTCAAAGGAAGATTGCGGAAATGTATTGTTCATTTTCTATCTGGTCTAGGACGAACTCAATTAGGGCTATTATAGCTGAGGAGGTGGATTTATTCTTCCGAAAGCCATGTTGGTCGTCAGTTAAGAGTTTGTTATGATTAAGATGTGCCATTAATCTAGCCAGAGCTATTTTTTCTATGATTTTAGAGAAACTGGAGATGAGAGAGATGGGTCTGTAGTTTTGAGCATTTTCAGTTGGTCCTTATTATGTTTGGGATATATTTTACTGACTTTTATGGTTGATGGGAATTTGCCTTCTTTAAATGATTTATTTATAAGATAAACCAGAGGAGAGATGAGTTCTTGGGAGCAGTGCTTTATCATCTTAGAGGAAAACTCATCTGTATTCCACTTGATGTTTTGGATTTTAGGGAGTTTATTACGGTTTCAACTTCTTTATAGGATGTTGAAGTTAAGGTGAGGTGTATTGGACGGACTGGTTCCTCTCCATTCAGCACTGTTTCAGGGTCTATAACGATTGCTATGTTTTGGTCAAGGGTATTTTCTGCTATATTTGAGAAGAATGTGTTGAAGTGTTCGGCCATTTCTTTTGTGTCGTTTGTGAGTTTGCCATTTATTTCTAATTCTGTAAGGGTTTTCTCTTCACATTTTCCTTTCCTTTCCTTGTTTATAACTTGCCATAGCGCTTTTGGTTTGTTGTCAGCTTGTTCTATGAAGCTAGCTGTTGAGGACATTTTTAGGTTTCTTAGTTTCATGTCGTATATCTTTTTTCTATTAATAATTTCCACTTTGTCTTCATTTCTGTTTGTTAACTGTAAAAAGTTCTCTTTAAGGTATTTTGCTTCGGGATCGTAGTACTTCATATGTTTTTTTTGTACTAATTTTAGTTTTTTTTAATGGGAATGTATAATCTAGTGCTGTTTGGAGAATATTATGAAATTTGTTGTAGGAGGTTTCAAGATTGGGTTAAGAGTAAACATGTTCCCAATTTTGTAGATGGAGGTGAGCCTTCAGTTTGTTTAGGTTTGTGTTGTTTAAGCTTCTTTTCATTTCAAATCTTTGAGAAGTGTTTTCTTGGTATGTTTTCAACAGGCACAGCTGCACAGTGTGGTCAGATAGACCAGTATGCACAACTTGTCCAGTAAATATAAGCATATGGTATGTTTGAGCATATACAGTCTATGGAAGTGGCTGTGTCATGGGTTATTCTGGTGGCTTATTCTGGTGGGTTATTCTGGTGGATTATTTTCTCTAGAGAAAATCTCCAGATGTTTTGTATGGTTAACTCTTCTTCCAGCATGGTGTTTTTGGAGTTTTGGGTGAGCCTGTCAATATTTATGTCATCGATGAGTATGATGTGAAGTTAGAGTACCCACTTTGTATTCCTTATAACCTTTTTGTTTTTGAAATCCCAGCTTTTATTTGAGCTATTGATTATTATGATCGGACGTACCTGAAGCACACTGCTGAATCATGAATCAACACTAATTAATTATGATTGATTGTTTTAGGACTTATTTGCAATCAATGATACGTAACTCTTTTTTATTTCAGTTATTTTATATGTCTTGGCCTCCTAGAAATTAGGAATAAAGACTTTTATTTGATTTTTATTTACTGTATTACACATGTTTCAACTTCAAAAATACGGAGCAGCCAACGATCACATTAGACTAAGCAGCACACAGTCCTCACAGTTTAGGGTTTTGATGTGGGTTTACTTTGAGAAGTATGGGGATAGCAACCTTCAAAACTTTAGTTGTGGTGTAAATGTAGTGAGGTTTTTAAATGTAATTTGACTTGAATAATTTAATATAATCTAAGAAAGGTATATATAATTATTGTTCTATAGCCTTAAAAAGGACAAATAATGGAAGGTTACATTATGGCAAGGCTTTATCCCCTACTTAGGCTCAAGTTGTAAGGTGCTACGGCGCGCCGGGGTCGCGGCCTTCCTAACTGAGGCCTCTCCCGTACTACGCTCCTCTACCGTATCGCCTTACAAATAAAATGCTCGGAATCGCTCGAGTCGAGCTGGGAACCTCCAAGGTCCTTACGCTACCCAATTTTGAATCTAACGTCTTTATTGTCTATTAAAGCTCAGAGTGACACCTCACCACAGGGGGTCAACGGTGTCATCACACTCATCATCGCTTTAATGATCACTTTTAAAACAATTGCCAACGCTGGGTGTTCCCGCGTGTCTCGTGCCAGGCTAATTCGCCGGTCTTAATCAAATTAACCGATGCAGTATGCTAAAATGTCACCCTAACTGCCAGGCTAACTCGCCGGTCTTTCTAAAGTAAAAATGATTAAATAAACTAAACTAATTCCCTACTGGCCAGGCTAACTCGCCGGTCTTTTTAACATACAACAACTCAAATAAATCAAATAATTCCCTACTTGCCAGGCTAACTCGCCGGTCTTTCTAAAGTCAAATTAATTAAATAAACTAAAATAATTCCCTACTGGCCAGGCTAACACGCCGGTCTTTCTAACCTACAACAATTTAAAAAAATAAAATAAAATCCTACTTGCCAGGCTAACTCGCCGGTCTTTCTAAAGTAAAATGATTAATTAACTAAACTAATTCCCTACTGGCCAGGCTGACTCGCCGGTCTTTCTAACCTACAACTGTTTAAATAAAATAAAATAAAATCCTACTTACCAGGCTAACTCGCCGGTCTTTCTAAAGTAAAATGATTAATTAACTAAACTAATTCCCTACTGGCCAGGCTGACTCGCCGGTCTTCTAACCTACAACAGTTTAAATCAAATAAAATAAAATCCTACTTGCCAGGCTAACTCGCCGGTCTTTCTAAAGTAAAAATAATAAAATAAACTAAACTAATTCCCTACTGGCCAGGCTAACACGCCGGTCTTTCTACCCTACAACAATTTAATAAAATAAAATAAAATCCTACTTGCCAGGCTAACTCGCCGGTCTTTCTAAGGTAATAAAATAAACTAAAATAATATTCCCTACTGGCCAGGCTAACACACCGGTCTTTCTAAAGTAAAATAATTAATAAACCAAAATATCTGAAATATAACTGCAAGGGCTTTACTTCACAAATAGTCTAAATTACACCATAGACTAAGCAACGTTTTATCTATGATTACACTTACAGCACTACTCGACTTGAGAGTAAAGACGGCCAACACCAGAGATACTAACTGGGACTTCAGTTGAGCTTCTTCGCTATCTGACTTTGAACGTCTCAATTACTGACTTTCACTGTCTTCAGACGGCCTGCGGCTCTGGTTTTGTCAGCCGCAGGAGTAGCGAGCTCCAGCGGTGATATCACGGACTACTTCCGTGTTCAGCGGCCTCCAGCGGCCGGCGACGTAAGCTACAGGCTGTTATCGGGGTTGACCCTTGTCCCCAAACCAGCCTGTTGTCCGCGCCGCTAACACCTTTTGCTTGCTAACGGTTGTAAATATCAACTTAGAGCTGGTCAAAATTTACAACCGTTACATCCCCTCCTGACTTTGTGGGAACAAAAAAGAAAATCAAGAAAAGAAAAAAAAACTTTTACTTCAAACAAAATAAACCCCAGTATACAAGCAAAAAACATGTTAATATCGCTGACCCCGTGAAAGATATGCCTTGGCTCGGTTCACATTCATCCGTTGGAAGGATCCATCAGGCATCCACACTTTCACTCTTTTGGGTCGGTATCTGTTCCCCTTCTGGAGCGAGGTATGTGGATTGATAACTATCTTCTGCTTTCCTTCTACGGCCGGTGCATTCATGGCTGTTGTAGGAGGTTCCCTCGCACTTTCAACCTCCTCGTTGGTTTCATCATCCATCTCGACGTCGGAAGTCGTCAGCAACAAACAATCATCGGAATCTTTGGGGTGATCCTCCTTTGGTGGATCCGTAGGTGGTCTCTCGGTGTAAGGGAGGGTGTTGGGAAGATCTTCCCTGGATGTTTTACAGGGTTTCCTGAATTCAGGGATCATACGCTTGGATCTTGACATGCGGTTCAGCTCCTTATTGATGTCCTCCAATACTGGGTCACTGGGAATCACCACCTCGAGCTTGGACCCATTGTGGATGAATGTGCGTATCTTCACCAATGGTGTCGTCATTGGGGTGAATCGGATTCGATCAGTGATGGGTGGTTCCAATAGCCGGAAATCTTCATTTTCAATTTTCCCTCTCCTGATTGCCGCACACATCTGTTTGCGCAACTCCTTAGGACATATCTGTACTGATGTGAGCTTTTCCTTGCGTGCGATAATTTCAGCGAAAGCACAGACGAATATACCACAGTCCCACTTGTTTGTTTGTCGAGGGGTATCCGCAGGTGTCCCACAGGTTAGCCACTCCACCGGATCAAGTTCTACCTTCTTTGCCTTGGCCTCCTCCTGTAAAAATGCCATCACAGCTGTAGCATGCCACGGATAGTCTAGGCCTAGAGAATCGTACGTCGTAATATGATGTGTTTTGGTCCAAACTATGATCACCGACCAGTGGCCGGACTCTCCGATGTCGGGTGCATGTATAGGAAATATCAACAGATCTCTAGAGAAGATATTCGTTCCCTTGGTCCACTTCCTTACTTTTTCATAGTTCCCCTGTTTCCAGGCAGGAAAGAAGAAAGAGTCAAAAGCGTATACCATGGGATACGAATCATAGTAGTGGCTTCTCCTTTCTATCAGTCTCAGATATGAATTTACGCAATTATCATTCAATAAGTTGGTTCCGTAGAAACAAGAGGAGTCCTTTGTGGAAGTTTGAATTAGTGGTCTCAAGGCATGCATGTTCTAAGGTCACCGTTTCCGCCCAGCAAACACGGAACCCTGGACAAAACAAACAATCTACTGGCACAAGCTCAAGCACATGCAATATATTCCCGCCACCAAGCATATTCTTAAATTATCTAACTACTTTGACTAACTCAGGGTCTACTGTTGCAGCTATATTTCAGATGTAGTCTAATGAAATGATTTAAGATCTTTCACGTGTACTGTTATCATCCGGTCTTTTGGCTTGTCTAAATTTCTCACGCGAAACAGATTATACCCTCTCTTTTGGATAATTTCGTAAGGTCCATCGAATTTGGGTGCTAATTTGCTGGAGAACATGTCAACGGCAGAGGATAGCGGATGGCTCCTTACCAAAACTCTTTGCCCTACAGTGAAAGGGTTCTCTCTTCGACGTAGGTTATAATACTTTGCTTGGCGATTGAAGGCTTTTCTTAGGTTGTCTTGACATTTATGATATAGAAGTCTGAACCTCGTCATACGTTCGTTGTGTTGAGTTTCTACTGTACCTGCTTCGCCACTATCACCCAATTCAAAAGGCTCCTTATGCAATGCATTCGGCAAACGTAACTCTCGGCCGTAATTCAACATTGCGGGGCTGAACTGTGTCGATTCGTGTACGGCTGTATTAACAGCCAACATAAATTCCTTGAGGTGCATGTCCCAAGTGTTGTGGTTCTCACCAACATATTGTGCAATCATTGTCTTGATCACCCTGTTTTGTCTCTCCGTGGGGTTCCCTTGTGGACTATAGATGGCTGTGTATTGCAGCTGGACATCCCAATCCTTTGCTAGCTTTGCAAACATACTAGCCACGTATTGTGAGCCGTTATCAACAATCAGTGTATCTGGGCTACCATAGCGCAATAGTATGACATCACGGAATTGAGCCGACACATGTTGAGCGGTCGCGCTCCTTAGGGGGATTAATTCAGTCCATTTACTATAATAATCTTGGAATACCAACAGGTACTTGTTACCCTTCTTTGACCTGGGAAAAGGTCCCATCAGGTCAGACGTAACGACTCTCCATGGTCCAAAAGGTTTGCGAAAATGCATTTTTCCGTATGGTTGTTTTTGCTCAACCTTGTATCGTTGACATATTCCGCAACTCGAAACATATTTCTTGATATCCCGGTACAGTCCGGGCCAATAATACCTGGCGGTAATCCTTTTTACCGTCTTCTTATAGCCTAAGTGACCTGAAGTTGCATTATCGTGGTTCTCCTGAAGCACCTTCATTTTTAGGTCTTGTGGAACGCAGAGTTTCCACTCCATACAGGGGTCCGTTAGGTGTAATTCTCTTCTTCCCACTATCCTCTTGTACAGTTTGTCTCCTCTCATGGTAAAGTGCGGGTATCTGTTTGGACTATAAGTAAGTTTTGACACATAGTGACGTACCATTTCCCTTTTGCACCGGCTTCTTCATCTGGTGTCGTCAAACTATTCCTATCATTGTTGGTCGTCATTGTCGAACAGCCCACTACCGGGTTTCGGGACAGCGCGTCCGCTACCTTGTTTTGTGTGCCTCGGCGGTATTTTATCTCAAAACTGTACTGTTGCAGCTCTAAAATCCACCGGGCTAGTCGGCCTGACGGCTGCTGGAGGTTCATTAACCATTTCAAGGCCTGATGATCCGTAACCGCCACAAAATTATACCCTTCTAGATACGGCCTGAATCTTTTTACAGCCCATACTAGGGCCAGACATTCCAGCTCAGTAACTGTAAATTTCTTTTCATTGATGCTTAGAAGACGACTTGCAAACGATATGACTACTTCCCTCCCATTTACAGTTTGAGTCAGTGATGCTCCCAGGCCTTCTCCTGATGCATCCACCTGGACAGTGAAAGTTTTTGAAAAATCTGGACAGGCCAGGATTGGCGCTGTAGTGAGCTTCTCTTTGAGGCTTCTGAATGCCTCTTCTTGAGGTACTTTCCACTCCCACCGTTGATCCTTCTTAAGTAATTTAGTCAAAGCGGCTGAGGTTCTTGCGAAATCCCCGATGAATCTACGATACCAGCCCGCCATGCCTAAAAAGCTCCTCAGGGTTTTAATGGTCGTTGGTTTGGAGAAATCTACGATGGCACGCACCTTCTCTGGGTCCGTCTGAATACCATACTCGTTGATCACGTGTCCCAAATACTTCAGTTCCTTTTTGCAAAACTGACACTTCTCTAAGTTAATCTGAAGGCCAGCTCCTCGAAGGCGCTCAAACACATCACCTAACAGTTCTAAATGTTCATCAAACGTTGTAGAAACTAGGATTAAGTCGTCCAGATAGGCGAACACTTTAGGATCCAACTCAGGTCCTACGACCTCATCTAATAATCTCTGGAAGGTTGCCCCAGCCGAATGCAGTCCGAACGGCATCACCGTAAACTGGTATAATCCTTTTCCCGGCACCGTAAACGCTGTGAGAGGCCTGCTATCCTCTGTTAGTGGCACCTGCCAGTATCCTTGTTTTAGGTCAAGTGTTGAAATGTATCTTGCCCCCCGTAGCTTGTCCAGTATAGCGTTTATCTGTGGAAGTGGGTATGCATCTCGTTCAGAATGAGTATTCAACTTCCTCAAGTCCACCGCTACGCGAAACTTTCCCGAAGGCTTCTTTATCATGACGATGGGTGAGCTCCATCCGCTTTTTGAAGGTTCTATAACCCCATCCCTTAGCATATTCTCAATCTCATTATTTAATATGTCTTGCATCATTGGGTTTCGCGGATAGTACCTTTGCTTTATTGGCGTCGTACCTGCCTTCAGTTTAATAGAGTGGGATATACGATTGGTTCGTCCCAATTTGTCTCCAAAACGGGGCAACTCTTTTCCTAAAAACTCATCCAGCCTAGCCTGTTCTTCGTCCGTCAAGGCGGACAATGCACATGTCTCCGGACTCTGTACGTCTGTGTCTCCCTGCTTCGCACTCTTTGATCCCCACACTTCATGATCTGTCAGCAACCATCTGTTTTCTTTAATGACATCCATCCCGATTATGAGATCCTGTGATAACGTTGCGACATAAGCAGCGTGGAATTTGACCTCCCTGTCATTCACCGTCCCTTTAAACTCGTATACGCTCAAAATTTTTGACTCAGATCCATCTGCTAAGAGCATTTTGATCGCAGTGGGACAACCATGCACCCCTATCTTCTCCAAATGTTCAGCCAATTCCTTGCCAATTACAGATACCATAGCCCCTGTGTCTATCAATGCGTTCACCGGTTTTTCTTTTACATTAATTTGTATATATGGTCTATCATCGTTACAGTGAACATTCTTTACGTACAGACCCCTGGTCGCTTTGATGGTATTCAACCATGTATTCCACTCGGTGGAGGTCGTGCGACTTCGGTTTTGGGGGTGCTCGTTCGACCTCCTATTTGTGGAGCACCCGATCCGTTTCCCGACCTACACTCGCAGGTTGACGTCCACTGGTTTTCCTTTTTACAATAGTAGCACATAAGTTGTTTTTTCTTTTGGCAATCCCTGAATATATGTCCTCTTTCAGAGCAGTTCCAGCATATCTGTGTATTGCTGAACTCCCTATCAGTTCTTTCGTTATTCCCAACTGTTTGGGGAATCCAAGTTCTCTCTCTGCCCTCTTGATGATCTCTCCTATACATCAACGGGCGAAACTCTTTACCCCTCAATGGATCCACATACCTGAGATTCTCACTTTTCCTTCCATATTCATGTTGACCATCCACGTTTATTGAGGCTGTTTCTTGGTAAACTGCTGGTCCTCTTCTAGGGTTATATGCAGTTTCGCTGATTAATGCTTGAGCCGGGTTTGGAGGTGGTCGATAATCTCGTTTTTCTCTCAAATAGGTCTCATAATGTTCAGCGTGTTGGGTAAGTTCACCTAATGTTGAAAAATCCTCCCTCCTGATGGTCAACTTGTAATCTGGTCTCATGTTGTTGTACAGCAGATCAAGTTTTTCGATCGGATGGAAGCCTCCTCTTCTTCTCATCAAGGTCATAAGGGCGATGACAAAGTCCCGAAACGTCTCACGGTCGCCTTGAGTTCGTCTCCTTAACTCGTCGTCAAGCTTCCTCTTGTATCCTGGGGGCCAAAACTGCAATTCAAAATCTTTCCTAAATTCCTCATAAGTGTTCCAATACTCCTTGTTATTTCTGTGCCACAAGAGAGCATTCCCATGAAAAATCTCAGGCATAGCTCTGATGACATCGCATCCTCTTACCCCGTATGCTTCCATTTTCTCTTCCAATTTCTCTATAAAAGACACGGGATCTTTTCCACCGTCAAAATGTATATTCCACTTTCTAACAGTATTGCAAACTCTCGCCGTACCTGACACATCGTCACTTCCGACGCCTGTTCCAGAGGCATCCATGATTTCTGTCCTATTACCAACTCTTTCTGATTGTGCTGTATTTTCGTGGAGTACAGCCATACATTTTGGTCTAGTATTTGTATCTTTTAGTGACGAGTGTACCCTACCCAGCCGAAAGTCTGACGTGTCTCTCGAGTGGTGAAGATCTGTGTTTTCGGCTGTTATCGTTGCATTTATTCCCTGTTTTCCACGTACTAGGTTATGCAATGCTTTCCTGATAGTATATAATCCTGCCCCTGATGGCAGTCCCAGGGTTTCTGTTAAATTCAGTGTCTCTATTTCTTCCAAACTATTGCCTCGGTACTCCAACCGATAGTCAACTCCATCAGCTCCTTCCGCATCCGTGTGAACGATCTGTTTATCATTCGTCTCATTACGGCCTCTTTGGTCTTGTTGTACGTAGTCGTCTGACTTGGTAGCGTTGTTCCTCTAGAAACTAACGAATCGTCTTCGTAATTCATCAGTCGTTCCCCTAGTATTCAATCCCTTTTTCGCCATTTCTGATTGTAATAATGATTTATTTAGCCGATAAATCCATCCCACAGTCGGGTCATCTTCTGTCGGGGAAATTATATGTCCTGTATTCGTAGGTACCTGTAGTGACAGATCCTTTGACGCAGTGTTCTGTGGTTCCAATGTACCTCCGCCCCCTGCTTCAGTGGTCAGATCTAGTAGATGACTGGTGTTGGTGTTTAAGCCCTTACTTGAATCATTTTCGGATTTTCCAGAAATGTCTGTAGTTTCTTGGTTCTCAGTTCCGCTCGTACCACTCTTATCGGAGCGTGG